CAGGCCGAACACTGTGGAGTTGTGAACACTCGGAGAGAGGTTATGTAGTAGAAAGAAGTATCGGGTAACCGCATCACCGTAGAGGTACATATTATGTTGGCGAACCAGTTGAGAGAATTCAGCGAAGGATCTCGGATCATCATTACCAATGAATCGACCACCTTCAACCGTAGGAGCATTGTTGCATGCTGCACAGCACTTATCCACCTTGTTCTGGAAGCTTTGGCCACGAAAGAATAGGGCATCAATGGCTTCCTTGGGTAGCTCGAGGCGGGATTTCTCTGAAGGCGGAGGGACTACCACAGTAGAGGGGGGACACAAAGTCGAGTCTGGCTTCTTGTCGAGAACGTCGTTAAGCTTGTCGATCATGAGGGTGACATCCGACGAAAGGGAGTTGACCGTAGTAGTCAAAGTACCGATCTCGTGCTCGATGTAGTCGAATCTTTCGTCAACCGACGCGAATCGGTCGACAGTAGCTTGGATGTCGCCGTGGAGGGCGTCGATTTCAGCTCGAAGTTGTACATCAGTTCCCTTGGGGAGTGCAAGTTCCCTAGGGGTCGGGGGTCTTGGAATCTTCGAGCAGGAGCTTGAATTAGAATCTTTGCCCTTGGTAGCTCTGCTTGTAGGGAAGTCGAGCCCAGGGGCTGCAGGGAGGTTGGCCAGCCGAGTTGAGTGACGGTTGGCGTCGTTAGTAGAAGTAGTAGATCTTGGAGAGGCGTCGAAGGGGGCCTCGTCGTCTGGGAGATTGGGATTAGAGATCCCGGTAGAATGTAGCGGAGCTGGCTGATTACCAACCTGGTTGTTAACACAAGAACCGGGCATTTCTGCAGACAGATCGCTAAGTTATCCTTGGGGTAGAAGGGTTGAAGAATCAATGAGGGAAGAGGGAGAAGAACCCAACTACGATCTTGAGCCAGATGGCTACGGTCGTCTTACGATCACTAGTGTCCCAAAGGCTTGTGCTTACTAAGCCAACCTATGTCTAAGGGACGACTAATGGGATCGACAAGGACGAAAGTAGCGAGTGTAACAAAGCAATATGATCATAGAACTGCAAAAGAGAACGAATTCGACGCCTAGCCGTTTCAGCCGTTTCAACAAGTCGACATGAAACTGCCTAGCGGAGCGAAG